GTCTGATTTTCTCTTGACATCACCCAAATTGATACTTATTAATTTTTTCTTTTTTTTCTTTTATATGCTAGTCTTAACCCCAATATCAAGATTTTACCCTTACTCTAATATTAAAAAAAAACAAAATTTTTACTTTAAAAAATTGATTTACATATACGATCTGATAATTACATATGACATAGTGCTATGACACTATAGTGCCGCAAAAGTATTTCCTATTACAATATCTCGTTAGACATTTACAAGTTTGTATACTTTTTTTTTTTTTTTTAATAACTTTTTATTATTTTATTTATATAAATTATACATTGTTCATTTTATATTTAATGATCTCTAATCTGATTTACTTAGTTAGTCATCAACTTAAAAGAAGGTTTCAAGGTTCACTTGTTTAAAAGATATACTTTGATTTTTTCTGATTGTCTTTTGTAAATTTAATAGAGCTTGATTGTTGTCTAACTGGGCTTTATCACTTAGATCCTGTTGTATAAAATATTGTTCCAGCACCTTTACAGCATTTAGCGCCTTATAGTAGGTAATGAGAGAAATTTCTTCACTGTCATCTTCGTTTTTTTCACTATTGTTGTTATTTAAATTTTCGAGTTCTATGTTAGTAACCAAAGTTAAGATTCCTGATCATTTAAGATTTCGTTTGTGTTTTCTTTCTCTGAATAATTAATATAGATTTCAAGATCTATTGCATTTCAAAGATTAAGTGCTTCAATATCTGCTTTCATTTCTTCTATTAACTTATTATCATTATCATTAGTAGGCTCTTCATTATTTTGAACAACTAGAAGGATTTCTGTATACTAGAAGCAATTACATATCTATAAATAGGGTGAAATCATTCTCAAGTTTTAACAAAATTGATATTTTAATAAATTACTTACCGTATTATTGCAGAATAACGTCCCGGTGCATTATTTTGCAATAATACAATATGCTATTTAATTTATTTCAGCCTAAATATACAAAATAATTAATAATTTTTTTAATTTTTAGAAAACCTAATTTCAATTCTATTCAACTATTCTAATAATTTTATTTTTAAGGTAATTATTTTGTCTATGTACTGTACGTACTATTTCTGTTGACACTTCTTTCTATGCTTTAACAATAAATTTTATAGCATTAAGAATATTTAATTTATCATTATTTTTAGATTTATACTAATCAAGCAACTATTTTATAAAATAATTTTTGTAGCGACATTTGAAAAACATGATAATACCGGCATCAAACGGTTGTATACGAGATGTTGTGTTTGAAGTGAGGTAGTAGACGATGGTGTTGTGAAGGTTTAAATTGCTGGAGAAATGGTACTTAGCATTATCCATTAAAAGAATTACCTTATAATTGGCTATTTTCACATCGAATTCTTTAAGCTATGCTTGAAATAACACAGTTGTCATCCATGCCTTACTACTTGACTTATATGTAACACTGAGTCTGTTGCGTTTGATATGTTTGAAGCATCATGGGTTGGGTGATTTACCTATTACAAAGGGCTTGAATTTATCCATCCCATCAGCATTGGCACAAAGTGCCACAGTTAACCATTCTTTGTCTTTTTTTTTATCCTTTAGACGAGTAATTGCTAGTATGATATCTGGCTTAAGACTAGCATATAAAAGAAAAAAAAGAAAAAATTAATAAGTATCAATTTGGGTGATGTCAAGAGAAAATCAGAC